ACATAATTAATTATTGAATTAATTATAAATGGGCAGGCGTATCACAACGTAGTAATGTGAGCTACTGGGTAATTTTCTGGATTATAAAAAAAATTAAAAGAAAAGCAAAAAATTTTATTTAAATTTTAAATATTTGGCATTCTAAATAATTATTTAATTCTAGCAAATTAGCAATTAATAACAAATCGTAAAGTTTGTGTTTTTTCCTAAAATCCAACTTTTTTTGAGCGTCGAGTTGTTTTATTTATATTTTAATTTAGGATATAGATACTGAGATCACGTCCTCATTTGACTATCCAATAACGTGAAAAAGGAAATATCATTGCATGAAACATTTTTTTTGGAAATTTGTATTTTTGAGATTGTTAGAAAGCCCTGTGCGGTGGCAAGTCAAGCACTCATAGCAGCGTCAGACATAGCCAGGGAAATTCTTTTTAAAGAGTCCAATTTTATTAAAATGCGTTAAGCTTTGTTTGAGATATTACCATTTATTTAAGGTTGAGTTGAGCACTCCCCACCACTTTCCTTGCAAACAACATTAAACAAAAAAGATTTGAATTGTAACCATTAGAATGTTTTCAAGAAACCGAGTTTTAACACTCAATAATTTTTTTTTCAAATTTCTGTGACCGTCCAATTTCCCTAATACGCCCTGTACAAACATTTTACTGGGGCAGACACGCAGTTAGATGTAGGAAAACGGTAATATAAAAATCTCTGTATTTTAAAAATACATTTTCTGTACTCCCTAGTCGAAAACACTCAATTATGCACCGATCACGTCACTTAAAATCGTGAGTCAGACATTTCCGGTACTTTAGTCACGAGTTTTTGGAGCGAATATATGTTTTCGATATATTTAAAACCATGATAGTACTTTAACGTTTGTCTAAGGGTGCGAAAATAATAAAACTAACCAAGTCTGAAAAATGACCACAGATGATATTACGGAAAAGGAAGGAAAACACACATTAGCAGAATTTTTGTTACCTTAAAATACCTAGAAATCTAAAAACAACATGTAAGTTTACGAAATTTGGCACATTATTCAAGCTCAAAATCAACAGGCACCGTTAGTGGCATCAGCAAAGCAAAGAAGTTTAGAATTTTAATTTTTCTGTCTACCGAACACTGATAAAAAAACTTCTTATGCCAGATATTCTTCAGAATACCTTTAAACATGAAGGAAACCACTTAAGTATACAATTTGTGTTGGTGTCCCGTTCAATCCTAATAATTTGATTTATTGTATATAATTACTTTTTTTGTAATATTATCAATTTTACTCAATAATATATCAGAAAGAAATTCCTCAAAAACTATTTAGCCCGTAGAATATATTGTATGAATTTTCAGTTATGAATTTACCCCCACTCCTCAGGTCAATTATTTATTCGACTTCATTGGGCTTAACGCAATTTGCAGATTTTGATTAATTTTTAAGAGCATTAAAGCGTTTTAGATATAAATACCTAGTGTCCATGTAATTCTTAAGCAATTACAAACATTTCTGTGGGTTCGTCGTCAAATCTGTAGTTAAAGTCACCAGCAGGATTTACAATATCAGTCTTTTATTTTCTTTTGTTGTTCTATTTAAGGTTAGCACCTAATGATTTACTTTTCTTTGTTTAAGTGATATTGGTATGAGCTTCAATATTTCTCTATTTCTCACACTCTTGTTATGGGTCACCAAAACTATCAACTAAAATAAAAAATTAAGAGTAATTTATTATATAATTAAAAAAAAACGAAATAAACTGATAATGAGGATGGAACCATTTAAAATAGCTTCTGAAGTCCACCTGCGAATGTTGTTGACGAATCGAACGGATTCAGTTAAGGACTGAAGAAGCCAACAGGATGATCGGCGAAACGTCATCAAGTTCGATTCATCAACTACTCGCGAAGGAAGAATTCAGAAGATTTGTAAGTAGTGCATTTTAAAATATCTGTTTACGAAAATATACGAACAATTTTCGATCGATTTTAAGGAGATTTAAATGCTGATAGGCTGATAATTTCTTGGAATTCCTCTGAACTTAGTTGAAATTCCTGCAGAATTCGTCTGAGCTTTTTCGTTCGCCAATGTTTCGGGTCTAGTTCTAGTCTACCTTAAAAGCTTAGATGTTTATTATTTATGAATATTAACAACAACAAAGAAGTGAGAAAATATAAATAAGAAAATGCGTACGTCAAGGAAGATAAACGCAGTTAAGGCGGATAGGAGTGACGGTGTGGAGGGAAATTATCATTTTTTGCTTTCGAATGTGTGCATAAAACATTTTTTGCGGATAACGAGAAAAGTAAATATCGGTTACACGAAGCCACGGGAAAGCAATTGTTTGTTAACTAAATAAGTCACGTTAATCAAAAGAAAGTGATCAATATTTACACCCATTATATAAACAATTTGTTCAATCCTTTAGCGGGTACCGATTGCGGTTAAATGGGAATTCCTATATATTCAATACGTCGTTATTAGGCACTTGCAATGGTAACTTCAATTTTGAAATTCACGAAATTTATACGCTATGTAATAGCAATTTTTCCGGAAGCATTCACTTTGGAAGAGAAGCGTTACCCTTATCTATTTGTTAGAACTAGAAGATAAAAAAATAGGTATGAATTGCAATTCAAATGAAAAATGATATTGTGAATAGTTTAACTTTGCCCGACCTGTACACACGTAACATAATAAATTATTTATGTATCTATGTGTACTTTTATTAAGTGGCAAAAGAAAAAAGTGCAGATGTCAAGGATGTAACCGAGCAGAGTAAAAGCGTTAAAATAGTATATAATTTGCGGTTAATTTCGAACTGATTGTTCTAAGAATCGACCAGTTTCTCCAGTCGCCTGTTTTGCACATAGTTCCGGGCTGATAAACTAACCGAAAACCAAATTACGAAGCAAATCTTTTGGAACTAATTCCATCGCAGAATTTGGGTTGACACGGCATTAATTAAAACTAATCTGCGAAATAATACGGAATAGCAATTTTAAATCCATAGCTGTGTAGCATATACCACGAACAGAAAAACTTATTTTGATTTATTCATAATTATGGCGCTTAATATCAAATTTTTTATAAAACCTTCTTATAGTGTTATGGCACATAAAAAGAAAAATCTGGTTAAACATTTTTCATGCCGCAAGTGTAAAAACGTCATTCAGTCACGAATTTTATTTGACACGAGTGGACCACAGTAGAGCGAGTGCTGATACTATTTCAGATGTGGCAATAAATTCAAAAGCAATTTTCTGTACCTCTGTTCCTCGTCAGTCTTTGTTTCACATTGGTAGAATGGATTATTACAGAACTCAACGGACAGCTGACATAAAATTTTAAAATTTTCTTTCTAATATTTTTGCAGGATGTTTAATAACGTGCAATACATAAAGACCGAGAATATGATTCAGATTTTTGCTTTTGAAGGTGCGGATGAGGATAAGCTATCTGTTGGAGCTTTTATTTACATTATATGAGGTCAGTTATTAAGCTTAGTTTCGGTTCATACGTTTAGATACTACACCAACTGGGGAACCAACTACAGATACTGCCTCACAGCCGAATATTAATACTCTCTACAGAGTGTTAATTCAAAAACGTACTTGTTATTAAAAAAGGAATGAACACTATAATTATTCGAAATGTAGAGCTATACCTTCGTCTCATCGATTTTCAACTGCTGGCCAATTGTTAATACTTTGTGACCAAAAAACTTTCGAGAAAATAAAGTTATAAAAATGAAGGGCCGAAAGTTTTTTGGTATCATATTTTTAATATCATTGCCTCATTAATGATAGTGAAACATTTCTTACTTCCAAATATATGCAGTTTCGGTTCGTCATTATTTTATATCAGGGCGTGTAGCTTGTTTTAAGCAGAAAGAAGGATCGCGACAGTATCTTCGCTTCAAAAAAAAAGAAAAAAATTATGCACTTGATTTTTCCCCAACTTGAGTATCAATAGGTGGATAATTTTTAATTTGATTTAATTTCAACCTCAATGGTAATGAAAATCTGGTTCTGAGATTTTTGTTAATTTCTATTGTTGGATTTGCAGATATTTTAGCAAGAAGGGATTTCAATTAAATCTTTCACTTTTTTCAGGAGGGGCTATCAATCACTATGCGCGACATAGAAGTTTGGGTGTCACCACATATCGAAAATTTGTAAGAATAACCTTCCTAGTTTAAGTGTTTCAAAAACGGCACCATTATAAATATGCCCTCTAATCTGAAAACTTTCGGACTTTTAAAAGTCGTCTCAGTTGATTATACTTCGAAACTGATTCTCGATAAATACAAAAGGTTGGTTAGAAAAAAAGAAGAAAATAATAAACCTGTAACCCGAAAGGTGGGTCAAACAAATTAAAAATGATTTTTTTTCTGAATAAATATAAACAGGACACATTGTATTAGTATTTACAAAGCAATTGGAACCAAACGCTTAATGTTCAAATGGAATTTAAAAAATATTTTCATACCTTACCAACCGTTACATTTGTAAAATATTTGAAGTCAGTTTCACGAGTTTCTAATGACATTATTACTATTAGTTGATGATAAGGATGATTAATAAAGTTAATTGTTTTATTGTGCAAGGTTGTTCACATGCTTTGGTTAAACCCATGTCCTTTGTTTTTAACTCGATAAATACAAAAGGTTGTTTAAAAAAAAAGACGAATAAAATAATAAACCGGTAACTAAAACAACTGGAAGGGTGGGTCAAAAAATACGAAATTTTTTTTTTTCTGAATTAATATAAACAGGACTAAGAACAAAAGTTCGTGGTTTTCGTTACCATTGAAAACAATTCTCCTTCCTTTATTCGGTCCACTGCGTTAAAATAAGTAAGACATTAAAATTTGTTCAAAAATCTACTGCGTCTTTTAGCAACAAGCCCTATTTAACCGAAATAGCAACACACTGATTTACACAAACCCCTCACAAATCATCCAAGAATTAACGAAATAAGCACAAAAAGGTAACACTAACCACTAGGTTCCGGTGGACCCTCATGGCTCTAGGACCCCTAGACACCGTGCTGCGGGGTGTTTGCTAGTAAAAAACAACAAACTTGTTGGTCTACTACGGCGTGCTTGACGCGGTTATATAGGTTCGGGCTCTTCGACGCTGTCAACGCCGAAGAGGTGGGGTCATCACTTTCGCTGTCTTCCTGCGTCTTCTCGCAGGAGACGGCAATGATGCAACGCAAGGCCAAGGCGCAAGGCTAGGAAGAAAGTATCTGTTTCAATTATTACACTACCGCGATGACGATTGAGACGCGTGCTTGAAATAATTATTAATTTAATTTGTTTTGAAACGGCTGCGTTGACGACATATCAAGACAATGCAATATCTTATTTTGTTACACATTGTATCTAATATTTCCTAAGCAAGCGGAACCAAACGCTTAATGTTCAAATGGAATTTAAAAAAACATTTTCTTCCATGCAGCTTACCGACCGTTACATTTGTAAAATATTTGAAGTCAGGTTCATGAATTTGCTAATGACCTTATTACTATTAGTTGATGATAACGATGATTAATAAAGTTCCTTGTTACTTTCGAAAAATCGATGAAATCGCACTTGGCAACGAAACCTATATCTCGGCAACGGAGCGTCGTACATCGTCGAAGTTGGTACCGATGAAATCAGCATCGAAAAATAAACGTTTTAATTTTTTGTCTGTTCTCCGTTCTGCGTTCTCTGTTCTCCGTTGACGCTCCATAAAAACGCGAATAAGTTTTGCTCCTTTTAAACTTGCCACGACACAAATAGGCCCATAGGAAATGGCTGCGATTGGAAATTGGCATCTATATTTTTTTTTTAGATTTTCGTGTTTTTCGTACGCTATGAAACACGATAAGTGTGCGACTTTGCAGCTATCGACTTCGAAATTGGCACAAATATAGAGTTTAGTCCCCTAATGGAACCTATTAAAATTGGGGGGGTGGGGGGGCAGGGTGGTCGGCAAGTATCTTTAAAAATTTAAAAACCGCATTCGCAAGGTATCTTGATAATTTTCAAAAATGTAGAGGGTGTGTCAGGCATTCGCAAAAAGCTGAAAATCGGGGTCCTCCTAAAATAGTATTGCAGATAACTAGAAGGCTGTGTTTCAGTTGTCAGTTTCTTTCATATGGCTCTATAGCCGATATTTACAGCTACAACTTTTGTATTTGAGGTTTTTACCTATTGTACAAGGTGTTTAAGATATTCCGTGCTATATTTTGAAATGTAGCAAGTGTCTCAAATTTGCAGCTGTAGACTTCAAATTTATCGCAGAAGTAGAAAACCACACCCACATGTAAACTTTTAAAACTGTGCGCCATCAAGTATAGCAATTTTCGAAAATTTTTGAAACTTTTTCTTGGGTTATTTTAGTTTCCAGAAAAAAATTGTTTTCTCAAAACCGATGTGCAAAATTTTCTAACCAGCAGACGCGGAAGGAAGATCTATCAGTATAACTTTTATTTCAGGCATTTTTCCGATTATGTACAGGATGTTTCAATTATGGACAAAAATGTAAATGAGCCTGAAGATTGTTTTCCAGAGTAAATTATTTGCCGTAAATAGAAATTTTGTAGAAAATATGGCTAACTGGTTTGAACAGTATTATAGACCGCATCAAGAGCTACAATATTTGTATGAATGGTTTTCGTCTATCATTCACGCTGCCCGAGGTATTTGAAAAAATACGTACGAAAATCACTATTCCTCGGACTATTGACTATTACGGCGTAAAATTATAGAAAAATATTATTTTCTCGGAAACCATTTACTCTATTAAACAAAGTCTTGGACCAGGAAATGCGTGAGATTGAGGGCAATAACCTTTATTTCCGGCATTTTTCAGATAGACTCTGAAAATTGCCGTTTCCGTGGGGAACTTGCTAGCCGTAAATGAAAAACTTTAAAACATGGGATAATTTGGTTTAACAAACTGTATCGAGAGAGTTTCAGGTTTCGTCTGTCATTCAGGATGCGCGAGATAGTTGAAATAACATGACTGGAAATCATTATTACTTGTACAATTTTTTATATTTATCAAAATTTATCTTGACTTTGAATTTCATTAATACGTGAAAGACGCTTTATGCAGGGCGTGTGCACAATACAGTTTTATCGATTTTGTGAAAGTTCAATAGTGGTAAGCAGGAACACGATAAAAAAACAGTGCGTCCCTATAGGACAAAATAAACAATAAAAATTACAAAGTTGCGTAGCAATCCTTGTAGACTGCGTAGCGCATGGTACGGAAGAGACCGACTCAGGACTCAGTGCGAGATTGTTCATATCTCGTCCTAACAACAAACACTTTCCCAGCTGTTTAGAAGTAAGCCAGAATTACCGCCATCTTAAATAAGGGAAAAGCATCGGATATCTACAATTATAGGCCTGTCGATGCGTTCGAGAACACTTGATAACTCACAAACAACGGAGTAACTTACCATATTTTACATAATTCACTGCCAAAGTTTTAGACGACAAAAGACCAGTAGTATCCAAACTTCTAGAATATCGGGTACTGTACTGCGCTCTAAACTGAGGATGCTAGGATTTTGCGATGGCCTTGTGCATTCATAGAATCATATTTGTTTAACAGAATGCAGTATGTAGAGATTGATAGTCGTTCATCCTTTAGCTAGCTACCTAGTATTTTCTTGCTAGCTTGCTTGTTTAAAATAGTATATAGGCTATTGGTTCTTGAGTGGTTTCAATCATCTACTTCGGAATACAGATAAATGCTTCGCAATGAGGTTTTCAAATCACCTGACTAAGGCATTATTAAGAAGATGTGACACTTTTAAACATTTGATTTTTACGTTTGACACAAATCTTTAGAAGTCAAATATAAAGATACTACGAAAGCTTCAGAAACTTCAGCACTTCTGTGTGAATCAATGTAAATGGTTTCTATCCTTCTAAGGAATTGATTCGGTTTCAGTTTTAATATAAAATGTGGCTAATTAGTTAATTTAACTTAATTTTTACGTATATTCAAGGATTGAATCTCACCTAGTGAAGACAAAACATAATTTTTTGAATAAAGGTCCTCTTTATCCGTTGATGAGATTATTTAACGTCTTCAGTGTTTATATTGACTATTTATGGCTTAGTGCTTTACAGTTCACCAAATTAATAATAAATTTTTTGTTACAATGTATATAGTCTTTTACTATTATTTTACTGGAGAAAATATAGTTGAATAGTTTAGTTTATAGATATTAGATTAAAATTGTCTTGTAAATTGATGTTAACTTGTTATACAATAAAGATTATTATTATTAAACACTTTAATCACACGTCACTGTAAATGCATTCGTGCTATTTTGAAAACATTTTTATTGACTCGTTTATTGAAATCTAGCTCCGTCTACAGGACGTATGCAAGTGAGTGTTTGTCAATATCTTTTAATTACTTCTGTTCCGTGTTTCATTATATTCTTTTGTTTAGTTGATTATTTTCGACGCGGTTTTGTCTTTGCCTTATTTCACTCGTCATTTGTTCATTCATTTTTTATCAGAATGAGCAAAGTTAAAACCGATGTATTTTTCTAAATATATTAAAAATTTCATTACTTAAGTTCAATGAAATCGTCTGTCAAACTACGGCAAACGTGCACAAATAAGGAAATACAAGTCGCTTTTATTCCGTCCAGCAAGGACATGCAATAAAACTAAAAGAAAGTTTACTGTCAGGGTTCCCGCCGCAGCTTTCTTTGCTCTTGTCAGCCTAAATAGAGTTCAATTCCGTTTAAGTGTTGTTATATAAGCCACGAGTTGTAATTAAATCGATGTGTTGCAACAATTATTTCAACGCTTATTAGTAACGACTGGTTCAATTTTTATTGTTGGCAGATAATGCGTTTAATATGGTTTGGTTACTAAAGAACTATATTTATCGAAGCATTGTGTTTATAAATATCGAGTGGGCTCATTGAAGTCACGTTTCTGATAAAACATTTTAATTTATTCTCATACGTAGACTTTGTGTTACTTGCAGTCACTAATTATTGAGTTATTCTATGACCCACTGACAGACGCAGCTTTATCAATGTGCCTTTAATTCGTAGTTGCCACATTTGCAGTGACGTAATTGGACTATTTCTTCGCAATAGCCTTTCTACCAGGATTAAATACAGAATATAAGAGAAAATTAATTTCCAAAATGTGTTATAGTATAAACTGAGTTCTTTCCTGGCCTTACTACTTTGAGTGAGTCATCGAGGCATTCCCTCTCGCCCCCCACTTCCTGTTATATTGCACTTCCATTTCCCACTACTGGGAAATAAACACGAATTATCCGGTTAATTTTTTTCATTCTACGCCATTCTTCGGACAACGAAGTTAAAAAAATTAATCAATAAATATTATATCTTGATATCTTGATATTTCTATACACTCTGCTTTTTAGATACCCCAAAAAAAAATCTAGAGAAGCAAGATCACATGATCGCGGCTGCCAATTGATATCGCCGTTACGTGAGATAATCCGACCAGGAAACTGGCCCCGCAGCAATTGCACCGTTTCTCTGGATGTGTGACAAGTGGCTCCATACCTTCCAACTGCTCCTAGAAAAAATCAGATATCATGTAACAGCGTTCTCCGCATTATCCTCGAAAAAAAAAGGGCAATTATTCTTCCGCATCAAAATGCGCACCAAACAGTGAGGATGCATTGCTTTTTGAACAATCTCTCTTGGATTTTCTAATCTCCAAATACGAGCATTGTTTACAAAGCCACCAACGTGAAAATGATCGCAAAAGATGATTTTCGTTGAAAAATGATCCCCTTGTTCTCGTATTCATTCTGCAAACACGCGGCGCTGTTGATGATCTCGAGGTTTCAACTCCTGAGTTATTTGGACTTTATATGGGTGTAGATGCAAGTCTTTTGTTAAAATTCGCCGTGTGGTTTAATACGTAAATCCCACTTGCTGCGATCGATGACGAATCGATGTGTTTGGATCTTCGGCTACACTTTCGCGAACAATGGCAATATTTTGATCTGACCGACCTGCACGAGCACGTTGAGGGACTTTGAGGTTAGTTACAGATCCAGTTTGCTCAAATTTTTGAACCACATTCCAAATTGTCCTCTCGGAAGGTCGATTTTGCGCGCCGAAAAGTTCACGTAGAGTCCGAAATGCA